TAAATCTCATAAAAAGAACTACAAGGAGTACCAATTCTGATTATATAAACATGGAATCACCGAGTATACATGTCACGTCATAAATAAAAATATAATTAATTTATGACGACCTAAACAGTGAAAGCCAACAAAAATTGATTCGGGTATTTGGATATCAAGAGAAGGGTTTTTTAAAATTACTTTTTTACAAATCAAAATAAACTCCTCTATATATTTATACCATAAAATTCTTCTGAAAGTATGGTTTGATTTTTATCCAAACACCTCCTCAGCTAGTAATAAGTAATGATTTAACTCAATTCATAATGCCTTGAATTCAAATGTCGCCCATAGTATAAGGATCTAAGTATTTTAATAAGCGCATTTTGAATTTAGAAACATGCCCTCAGCCTCTGGAGGGACAACTCATCCAAATCAGTAATGTTTAGTTATACGCAAACAGAAGAGAAGTTGTATTATAATCGTAATCGTGCCATATATATATATATATATATATATATATATCAAACTAAAACCAAAAACGAAAATGGGTACAGTACACAGAGGTAGTATTTAATGGCGATACGAATGAGGCCCGTGATTCCATCCAAATTCATCAGACCCAAATGCGTTGAATTCTTTCAAATCCTTAATTTTGAATTTTCATGATAAGCCGCCAAGTGATTAAATTAGAATAATTATATACTCCTATCGTCCTATTAATAAAATACAGAAAGAAGGTTTTTCGTGATTAATATCCGTGTAGTTTTTCTATTTTGTTAATGAATTAGCCACTGAAATTATAATTAACTTTGATCGAAATCGAAAGTACTTGGAGATGATATGGTTGACATATCATTAGTAATAATATGAATTTTAATTAAAATTGACCATAATTTTAATTTCTTGATGATAAAATTACAAAAATTTCTACTCAAGTCTCTAATACAATTGTAAGGGAGAACTGCAATCTAATTTTAAAGAAGAGAAATAATTACTAAAAAGTCCCGACAATAGCCTGAATAGCCTGTAATAACAAGTTTCAGAGTGAAGAATCACAACTTCTAGAATTTGTTTCATAATTTTTTTCTTATCTTGGAACCTCATTGTAATTCACCCCAATTGTAAAAGACCAAAAACTATATTTTAACATGCATTATTGATCTGTAATTCTGTATAACTTACGTTGACTCGAAGCAAAAATATATACACATCTGTAATAAACTTAGGTGACATTAATTTATTATGACCAATAATTGGGTCTTAGTTTTGACTTCTCTCATATTAATAGTGAAAAATGAAATAATAATAATAAATAGGACGCTGATTCTTGAATAATTGCAACAGAATCAATCGAACTAATAGCATGCATTGTTGGCAAAAAAAAAAGGAACAAGTTTAGGTAGTTATCAAAGTGATGAGCACTCTAGGCCCATCATATCAGGATCACTCAGATCTGATTTGGATGGTTCGGATTTAATTTTTTTTAATAAAAATTTTTTCAAAATAAATAGTTAAGTTATCATCTTGTTTTAGATTCCATGCTCATTAAAATAATTATTTTAAAAAATAAAAATAAAAAATTAAATCTGGACCATGCATGTCAAATGTGAATAATCCAGATATAATGAGTTTAAAGTGCTCATTACTCTATTGAGCACCAAAACTGGTTCCATAGGGGGAAAAAACTAATAGCCTATATTAATTCATTTTAAATTTTTTGGCAAACATTCATTTTCCTAGTGACATTAAAACTTGACGTATTATTATTTGTCTAGTAGCATAAAAAGTCGATTTTTTTTTTTACCACAAGACAACTTTATTTATTAACAACACGCTCGTCCAACAAGGTGTTTGCCTTGCCATGTACTCTTCCTTTTTTTCCAGAACTTTTTCTTCTGCGTGAGTGGAACTGATTGAATAAAAGAGATGCTTTACGAAAAAAATTTATTAAAAAAATACTTCACGAAAATCAATGCATATTTTTTAGAAATAACTTAATTAATCTTTTAATCTTTCTAAATCAGTTATCAAGTTCTCCTGTTTCTCTTCTCATCCTGTGTGGACTTGCATTTTGATTTTTCAATAGTTTTGATGACTTTGTGATTGTGTACTAGTTATTTGTGGCTAGTGTTTTTGTTTTCTGAGTTTAAAATTATATATATGTTATTAAATTAAAATCGAGCTTTATCAAAATTAATAAGAAGGGGAAAAAAACAATTCTATGTCATTATACAAGAAAGAACAAAACAAAAAAAAAAACATAGAATATGATTACAATATGGACACAGTGCTATAAAGCTGGGCGTATATTGTTTACAACTGTGAAATAATATTCACGCAAATGTCATTTTCATGACGACAAAGCTAAATTTTATATTAAGAAAATATATATTTTGTTCATTTTTTAACTATTGGATGATATCAACATAATAAGGTAAAAATAAAAATTATTTAATTTGTATTTAATACTCATTTTATTAAATTGATGTGACTGCGAAAAATAATTACAAATTTTCATAATGAACTGTGCATGGGAAATTATTTTGGGTGTAAACCTGAATTATAATGATTTCATAAACATGATAAAGGGATTGTTTTTATAAAAAAGAAAACTAATATTTGACATGAACAAAATACATAATGAAAGATCTGGTGAGTGAAGACTGAAGACGCTTATATATTTGAAAAAATTACTCATAAGTCCTAAATTAGAAAATTAAATACAAAATATTCCTAAAAATTTATATTTATAAGTCAATTATTTACAGATCTACATGTCAAATTTAATAATTTACAGTTCCAAGCCAAATTTTGATATTTACAAGTTTTTTTGCCAAATGTTTTCAAGTTGAGAGTTGTGTTATTTTACAAATCAAATTCGTAAAACTTATTTAAAAAAAATCAAATTTGTTACTATTTTTATCTAATTTTATATATGTGTGATATTTCACATATATGTGTCTGACTAAATTACAAATGAGTTAAAACTATAAGAACTAAAAAATTAATTTTTTCTAAAAATTATATACTTGAGATCTCTCTCACACATGCCAAAGGATGTACACACACATATATATATAAAGAAATATTTAAAAAAACCCAAAAAAAAAATAAATGATGTTTTGGCACAATAAATGAATCTGAATGAATCTTATAATTTTTACTACATTTTGTCTTTGGCCATATTGTCCACGTGTGTGAGTTTCTTTTTATGGAAAACAATAGTGCATAAACAAAGAACATAATTGGAAGTTAATTAGAAAAATTCGAGGTCAACGATATCATTTTATATAGGAATTATGTTAAACTACTTTCTACGGATAAGAGAGATTCTCATGAATGAACCTGGACGCCATTTAGGGAAAAATTCACTGTCTTCATTTTTTTAATGCATATAATAATTTATTACAAGCGTGGGGTTAAACTATTAATTACTTGTTACTTTGACTAATGACACAGTCTTTAATCTCTTCTAGAATTATGTTAAATAAATGCTTTTTATATACAACCCCATATGTATATTGACAGGCTGGTATATTGATTGAGTTAATAAACAAAGCTGGCCAAGTTTCTCAATTCTCATACTTAGGGTTTATTCGTGAAAAAAAATATTGCAAACTGATATACTGTAAGAGATTTGTTTAATAATTTGTTGATAAAATATGTAAACACATAATTAAAAATGTTTATATTTCATAAGCTAAATTATGAAGAGGAAATATGGGAATAGTATTAAATTTTTGGACAATACTTACATCAAGTTGATTATATCTATTATGTCAAGTTTTCTAATTATATATAATCATATGTCCTATTTTTAAAACATTATCATTTAATTATAAACTCATATAAAAAAAAATAGGACGCATGATCATGTATAATTGGAAAACTTAATATAATAGATATAAAGAATTTGAATTAAGCGTTTTCGTAAATTTTTAGTGAAAAAATAACAACATATATGAAAACAATATAATAATGCTATTTAAAAATTTGATGACCAAAATATTTGATAATTTGGTTTATTCTAAGGTTTATTTAAAATATTACGTCTTATAATGATAGTATATTATAAAGTTTAAATATGACATATATTTAAAAAATAATGCACATACATCATAATAACATTTTTAGTGAATATATGTCTATATCATAAAATTAATATAAAGCGGACAGAAACCAAACAATTTCTAATTCAATAATGCAAATATATCCTATAATTTTCCATTACATGGCATATATGAAAATTTAGCAAGATACTTGTGCCTTGATATCAATTTAATAACAATCAGGTTCTAAGACATTTTGCTAAAAGATGAACTACGTACAGATATTAGCCAAAGAGTTAAGACAGGATTGGTTGAATCACAATTTGGATGGTGACTGCTTCATCAGCCCTATGGTGAATTTAATGGCCGAATAATGCACATACATGGTCAGGAAAGTACCAATGACATAAATTAATAATTTATCAAATCAGACAGTGAATCTCGAAGAGAAAAAAGCCCAAGAAAATGAAAACAACTTCCCCAAACCTTTCTTCTAATTGTTTTTTTTTTTTTTTAAGCTGCATCAAAGCTCATTTCATATTTGCCACTTGAACAGAACATATGTACATATGACCTTGAATCATGGTCTTCCTCTAACCTCCTTGAATCAACCGTTGGAAAGTGAAAGGGAGACAAGCCTAGCCAATAGTATAACAACACAATTAGAAGACTCTGAAGCATGCCACGTAGGAAAATAATGGTCCGGACTATTATTGGCCCAGCAACCTGGAAACATGGCCTAAGTACAGCTCATCACAACCGCCAGTTCACAACTTATGAATTGGTTCTTATATGGACAATTATCAACTTATCAAACTTGATCAGCCTTTGAACCATAAGTTGCAACAGCATCACCTACTGATAGAAATATCTTGTCTTCCCCAATCATGTCCACTAACTTGGATGCGTAGAGCTTCTCCATTACAATTGGCCCGGGATTTGACAAGATAAGCTGTAAGAATGCCAGAGATATGAATAATATCACAACCAGATATTGCAAAGATTGTTTATTCGCATCAAATCATGTTAGGCTTGAATAAAGGGTTATTAGTAAAGAACAGGCACAACATATTTATATGTGCCTCCTGGGCTTGATCCTTGATCTAATATCAATTTAATTAATTCATCCTAAAACTCAAGCTATTGAATGACAAACCTAGAGATAGTGTTATCTAATCATTTAAAGTGCATAAGATCATTATAGATAGAGTTAAGCAGTTAAATCTTCAAGAACAGAAAGTTATCTTCTCCGGAAGAGTTTTGCAGAGAAAATTTTGCAGTGATGATGAAAAGATGTTTAATTATCTGATTATGTATTACCTGGACCCCTCTTTTCTGTAGGCTCTTGTATAGATCTTCAAAGGCGTGGATGCCACTAGTGTCAATGTCAGTAACAGCTGCAGGATTATAGTTTCATGAATGATAATGTTTTGTAGATCAATAATCGATATGAAGATTAAATAATAATCTAAAGGCAAATCCTTACGTGACATTTCAACAATCAGATATTCTATTGTGGGAAAACTACTTTCTTTCCTTCCTTCATCTTCATCTTGCAGCCATCTCAGAATTCTGCAAATTGTGATTGGATCCTATCCATCAGGTAGGCATGATATTGAAGGGTCTAGAAATTTAAAGATTATACATAGTAAATCTCAAGTGAAAATCATTGGATTTCTTGAGTTTACCCTGTCTATATATTCATTGGTAGTAATCGTTTGAAACCAACAGCTCATAGTTCCAATAACTACATCATTGTGACTAGATACGTTTTTAAATCATGTAGAACACTAATTTTTCTTTGTTTTTTCCGAAATGAAACTTGGACTTTTAAACCAAGACTCCATATATATATATATATATATATATATAGTTGAAACCCTTAACCGTTAAACCACACCTAGTGGCTTGTAGATCCCTCATTTCTCCATGATGACACACATTATATGGGAATAGCTAGACGTGAAATCAATCACCTGTCCTTGATATAATTAGAGTTTGAGAAGTAGATTGCAGAGTCAACTCTAATAATTAGCATTCCGGGGATCTGTCTAGCACTTGGGTATTGATAGATGTTCCTGTATACCTTGGTCCCTGGAAGCTTCCCAAGTGCTACTGTCCTCGGCCTTGTCACTTGTAAAAGGATTTTAGCAAAGGATATGACCACCTGCGAAACATGAGTTCATAATAAGCTTGCATGATATTGAATGTCATAGTTTTAAAATTTTTCTTTTGATTTCCTTTTACCGCGATAAGAAGGCCAATCTCAACATTTTTGAAAATCACGCCAAAGAAGGCTCCCATGCAGGCTAGAAAATCAAACTTGTCAATCTTCCATAGCAGAACGACTGCATCAATGTCAATGAGGCCTATCACAGCTACTATTATAATAGAAGCAAGCACTGCATTTGGGGTGTACTTAAACAGTGGTGTAATGAACACTAAGGTTAATAACACAACGATGGACATAACGATGTTTGACACAGCAGTTTGACAGCCAGCCATGTAGTTCACTGCTGAGCGTGAAAAAGATCCTGAATATACACAAGAAATGGTATCAAGATCGCAGCTATTCAACATAAAGGTCTTCTTAATATGAGAAGTATACATTAGATAATATGAAGCTTTTTCCTTTTGCTTTCCGCTTTTGTACCTGTGGATACATAACAAGATGTCAGTGAACCAATAAGATTCATTGTTCCCATGGCCACCATTTCTCTGTTACCATCAACTGAATAATCTTTCATGGCAGCAAATGTTCTCCCAATTGCCACAGCTTCCTACAACCCCAAAAAGTTCGTTTCAAATTTGTTAAAAGAACAAGAGAGTCCAATTGAGGTGAGGAATCACTAGTCATATGCAGCATTAGCTTACTGTGAGTGCAATCAAACCAGCTATCACGCCAATCTGAATACCAGGGCCAAGATATTTTCCACTGAAGAAAATATCACCGGCAGATATTGGATTCACTCCCTTCTCTATGTGTGTCACCTGAAATAGCATATTTTGGGTTCTAAAGTTCACAACTCTGTGTAATCTATGACAGAAAACTCAGTTCAATGCTACTCACAATTGCAACGCCTTCCTTGTCTGCACGGGTGATGTAAACAAAAAAGGTGGACACTATAACAGACGCCAAAGGAGCAAGTGCAGATAGCCAAAACAGTTTCTTATTCTTTTTAGCCTGTCCATTAAAAGATTATATTTCAGAAAATTGTAATGGAGGAATTTATGGAAAGGGTATTCATTGGTGCCATTCTCACCAGGTACTTGGCTGTAAGGAGGAAAGCCAAGAATGCTAACCCAATGACTATCGTCTGCCAATTCCACTGCAAGAATAGACGAGATTACAAATGTAATGCCTGTGAGCTTTTGTTTACCTTTTCCGTCTATGCCAAGAGAAATCAAAACTAAAACTTCATTAGTACCCCATGGTGCACGTTAGTCCAAACTGAGCGCATGACAGAAATTATGTCACTTTTCTTGGTGAAGTTTTTTATGCCAAGCAATCCTTTAAGCTGTTGCAAGGCTATAGTAATGGCAGCTCCGGCCATGAATCCCACAATGGCAGCGTGAGACAAGAAGTCAATCAGGAAACCAAGCCTGCGAAGTTAAGTTCAAACTTTCAGAGCTGGAGTGGTTTTTACGCTAATATTAAGACAGGGCAGGAAAGAAGATTGCATTTTGGACCACATACTGCACCAAGGGTGTACCTGAGAAATCCAAGTGCCATTTGAGTGATTCCAGCAAAAAAGGTGGCAGTGAATGCAAGACGAAGATAGTCATGACTTTCAAAGTCACTGATCTGATCCGTCAGCATAGTTCCAAGCAAAAGGGATACCACAGCCACTGGTCCTATGGCTATATCTCTTGAGCTTCCCATAAAAGCATAGATAAGAGGAGCCACAAAGCTGGAGTCTGCGCACAATTGATACAAAGTTAATCAAATAAAGCCACGAAGCTTAGATGTCTACCTGATGAACTCAATTGTTACTAAGAAAATCAAAATACTTACAGAGTCCATACTGTGGCTTCAAATTTGCAAGCTTTGCATATGCAATATCCTGTATTGCATTCATTAGTGAGCCATGATCCAAAAGAAAAAAGCATGCATACCCGGTATTAATAATATCCTAAAAGAGCGCCACTTACCTGAGGAATACAGAGACTTGCAATGGTAAGTCCAGCAACGAGATCCCCTTTAAATTTACTAAGATCGTAACCTCTTCCCCATTGAAGGATGGGGAACACTGCTTGCAGGCCAAGAACCAACTTTCTCGATGCAGGTTGGCCCTTAAAGTGGCTTAGGGGCTTGTCTGCGAAGAAAGTTTCCATTGCAGTTTCTTTGATCTCTTTGAGAACATTTTGCTTAGGAGGAGTACCCACCTTGTGGATATGTGGCAAAGCCCTGTCATGTCGACGAGAGGAATGCCCACTTCTGATTTCCTCTGTAACCCTTTCTATCACCTCATCGCTGATTCGGTGACTCATTATTGCCAAAGACTAGCAATAACCTGCAAATCACGATTATGACAAGTAGCTGGCCGTTAGTGGAAATCTCTGATACCCAGTGACCTGCTATAAAAGCTTTAGAGTCATGTTTTGTCGCGACAAGTTTAGCTTAATTTCATAAAGGAATCATATAAGGACCTCGATCTCAATTGGACAAGAATACAGTGAAATAAATGAATCAAAAGGCACAGTAAAGTACCAGATGATGAACAGTAGAGTACCCAACTAGTTCGCCCTATATCCTGCAAAAAGTTCTTGCTCATCAATTCATTATATAGAGGCGGGGATGGGATGTAATGGATTTATTCAGTCCATACGTGGTTTGACATGCAGGTGTTAATATCATAAAATAAATCATCATTGTCACTCTACTTATCAATAATTGGAACAAAATGACGTTCGTTTGAATAGGCAAATCAATCTTTTAATAGCTTGCGTATTGCAAAGTGAAAAACCAAGCTGATCATACATTAAGACTTAAAACTGACGAGAAAGAGAGATGAGGCAGAAGAAGAAAGTGAAAATCTAAAGATTCACAGACCAAGGAGAGTATTATTCCCAATGAGGTAGATTTGTCTGCTTCCAAATTGGTAGTTTCTTTCTTTTGGCCATTGGGTGATTGTAGTTGATGCAAAGAAAAGTGGCAAGACAACGAAAAAGACAAAAAAATAAGAGGGGCAACCAAAAGTAAAAGGAATAATTTAACTTTGGATTATCCTGGTAATTCAAGTTCACACGAAAAGAGATTTAAATAACTTCATTTAGTCTCTTTCAAAGTGAGGCGGAAATGATTGATTATTGTGACATTTTCCATGTGCCATTATTTTTCAGCCATTCTGTCATCAAATTCTTAACAGCTTATCCTTACCTGTGAATTATGAACCTGGAGGAGGATATTTCACCAAAATACAGGCATGAATTCCCAGCACTGTTAGTCCAATCCATCCTCATCGACTCCCAATAACCATTCCCCAAAGTAATCCTAAACAGTTGAGAGTAAAACCAGTTTAGATCCAACCGACAATATATCAAATAACACAAAGCATTCATGCATCAACGATTCATCCAAAGTTAAACACTCACAGAGTCAGTGACGCAAAATCAACAATCGGCGATTCATCTATCAACTGCAGGACCAAGTAGGATCATACATAGCGAAGAAAAATCAATTCGTGATTAATGAAACAGCGACATGAACAGTAATGTAGTATAACATGTAACGGAAACAGAAGTTTAAATTATTATACTGTAATCGTAATCGTACCAAAGCTTATATAGTTTGTTGGCCTTGGTGATTGACTGATTATTAAACTAAAGTAAAAAATTAAGAAAAGGGTACGGAGAGGTATTTGATAAAACTACGAATACGAATGGAACCGTAAGTCCGTCCAAGTTCATCAAATCTCGAACTGTTGAGAAATGATCCAAATGCATTCGTAGTTTTGAATTTTCGTGATAAGCATAACGCCGCGCAAAAATAGGATATGCTATAAATATATATATATATATATATATATTTCATGTGATAAGCTGCTTGCGTTTGAAGATATACGCCCTGTTTACATGATTAAAATCACTTATAAGCATGTTTTACATAAATTGAGATAAAACTCCTCTCATATATCTACCTTTTATTTCGTAAATCATTATTAAAAAATTATTTATAAGTTATTGCAAACGTGCCCGTAAGTGATTATAAATAATCAATTATTATCTTCTATCCTAAACATATGACTTCGTTTGTGGTTTAAAAAAAATCTTATAATTAAAATTAGAGATAGTATTTTATTTCAAAAATACATTTTTTATCAATTTTGAATGATGAAGGGATATAGAGATTGGAGAGTGTATATGCTTTTTAAATTTATAGGAATTACTCCATCTGCCTCTAATTATATGAAGAAGTTGTGGTTTTTTCATTTATAATTTATCATATGAGACAGGAATAACGTGTTTGCCTTGTCACGAGGTCGCTTTCTTTCTTTCCTTTTTTTCGTTTTCGGGGGCTCTTCCTTAGATGTGGGTGTAGTACGTGGGACGGTGGGGGAGAGTTGAGTGTTCGTTTATTTCTGTTTTTTTTTATTTTCTTGTTCTCAAAACTTTATAATAATAATTAAATGAGAAATTATCCCTCTTAAGAGAATTATATACAAAAAAGTCCATTGAAATCATGAGTTGTCAATATCTATCGCATTAAGTCGCATTAATTATTAATCGTTACACTATAAGTTGTTAACAATTACACTTTCAGTTGTTAATGTATGTTTTAAAAAAAAAAAAAAGATAAAAAAATTTGGTCATTAAACAAATTCAATTTATTACAATGAGATTCCTTGAAACTTTAGATTAATTTGATGATTTTAAAAGATCTTTTTATATTTAATTCTCTTAGAACCTTATTGCAATTTTTTCTATCTTTTTTAAAATAAGTTTTGATAATAAAAAATAAAAAGTATATATTTAGATAAATATTTGGAAAAAATCATATTTAAAAAAAATCAAAAAAATGACATATTGCAAATAGGTGACGAGCAGTGGGTGAGAAGATAAAAATATTTATCCAATTTTCTAAAAAGATACAAAATAAAAAATAAGAAAATATTTAAAAATTGTTTTGGCTTTTAAGTTTTTAAAACCATATTATTTTTGTAAGGCAACTAATTAAAAATAAATTATCAAATGAGTTTTTTTTCTAATTAAAAATTATTTTTAAAATAAGAAATCAAACAAGTCATTAGATGCCAAGAGTTTTTTCTTTTAACTTTTAGTAAAATAACATAAAAGTTTTAAGCACGAAATTATCATTGATGCGTCCCTCTTTCACTTCTCAATCTATGCTCTTTTTTTTTTTTATAGGGATGAGACCCATGACTAGTAATTAAATTTTTTACTTAGAACTTCTCTCCTTTTTTTCTCTCCATTTCTACCAACAATTTTAAGGGTTTGAACTTTGCTGCATTCTAATTTACTGCTCCAATATTTGAAAATTTTAATTCACGTCGTTTATAAATTATTTTTAAGAGAGTTATATACTTATATAGAAAGTATATACTTATATACTACCTCCGGTCCTAATTATAAGACCTAGTTGACTAATTTGAGGAGATTAAAGAAATAAGTTAAGTTAGTTATTTATAACAAACAAGAATTGTCATTCCTAAAATATCCTTGCTAATTAAGTGTGTTGGTTAAAACTATTATTATTAGAAGGACTATCTTGAAAAAAAAAATGTATAAATATGAGAGACAAAATGGATTGGGGTCTTATAATTAGGACCAAACTAAAAGTCAAACGGGGTCTTATATTAAGGACCGGAGATAGTAAAAATTAAAAAGACATTTTTAAGAGAGTTATCCGCTATATTAATAAAAACTAAATTACGCGATGGTGTTTTACATTTTATATATTGGAATCATTAACTAAACCAACTTTTATTTGATATTGTATATAAATCGCACATGACATTGGCACATCCAATATTGATATGGATAACTTCCGTTGACTTGCGGCAAATATAAATAAAATCTAAATAACATGAATTTATTATGACTAATAATTGGAGCCCAGCTTTGACTATCATATTAATAATGAGAAATAATAATAATAAAAGATAGGATGTTGATCCTTGAATAACTAATAATAGCGTATATACTAATAAAAATTAAATTACACGATTTTTGACTTTTGGATAATATGATTTAGCATTTTTTTATTCTATATTAAAATCAATTAATTAAGCCAACTTATAGTTGATATTATACGTAAATCCCACATATCCATGATTGATCTGTATAACTTCCGTTCACTTATAGAAAATATTTTTTTAAAAGAAAAGTCTTAGTGGCGTGAATTTATTATGAGCAATAATAATTGAAGTTCAGTTTTGACTCTCGCATTATTAATAATGGAAAAAATAATGAGGTCGCAAATTTGAACCCTTAGCAAATATTCTTCTAGTCCTATTTACAGGACAGAAGCAAAAATAAATTTTTATTCTATTTATAGCATAAAAACATAAATTTTTCACATAAATATGCAATGTTATCCTTTATTTATTGTTATATTAATACATAAGAATAAAATTAGAAAGATGTTGAATTTATAATGAGAATTAATAAAGTTTAAAGTTTTTTTTTTATCTGTCAGATGGGTAATATGATCATTGTATAAATTATGAAAGAATGAGAAAATTAAATAATAATAATAATAATAATAATAATAATAATAACAATAATAAAAAAAACCGGAAGTTTTTCTTTTGATCATAACTCACAACTTAGTCTTAAAGAGATACTTAATGTTATTTGCACTACATGACCTGACAATATTATATAGAAGTTTATTGGATAACTATTACTCCTTCGATGCTAAATATAAGACCTTTTTTATAGTGTAAATTACACTACAAAGGGCATATTATATTTAGGACCGAAGGAGTAGTAGGACATGATCAAACTAATAGCATTTCTTTTTTGCCAACAGACTAATAGCATACACACACATATATTAATTCATTTTAAATTGAACAATTAATGCACGAACCCATAATACGTTTTTCATTATTGTAATTGAAAGTGAAAGACCTAATTAAAATCAAACTTGACGCATTATTTGTCCAACATCAATATATATATATATACACACACACACACATCTTGATGACACACTACATCCAAAAACGTGTAATTGCCTTATCATGAGGACCGTCCTAATCTGTTTTTTTTTTTTTTCCTTTTTTTTTTGTGAGAGTAGCTCTTCCTTATTATTTGCAAGTGCATATGAAAGAGTATAGACAAATTTTAAATTTCTTTTCTCTCCACCAAAGATTTTGAGGATTTGTAATAACCTTACCAAGAAAAAAACGTATTTTTTATTAACCTTAGTTGGTGCCTATTTGCATGGGAATAAACAAACAAAAAAATTATAATACTTAAAAAAACAAAACAAAGATATCCTGTTTTTGACTTTTATAATTAATTGTTTCGCGTTTTAGTTGTGGCTAATGTTTAGGTTTTTCTTATTTTCATTTAATAATAATATGTCATTTTTTCGTGGGAGAAAACAATTATATGCTGTTATTGTTGCGGGAAGGAACGAAACAAAGTAAACAAACATAAATTTTTTTGATGACAAAATATAGACAATGCTATATATATTTATATATTTAATGTGTCAACATATATATATTATTCACAACTGTACGTAAAATGTGATTTTCATGTCGAGAGAGAAATCTTAAATTTTATAATTGTTATGCAATTTCTCTGCATCACATGGAAATTCTTTAAAATAAATAATAATTAAATAAATAGAGAGCCTATTATTATTATTATTATTATTATTATTATTATTATTATTATTATTATTATTATTATTATTATTATTATTATTATGATGATGAGGCATAACATTGTGAATTTGTGATAGAGTGCCCGTTTGGATTAGAAACTATACGGTAATGATTGTTTTGGATGTAATAATATATCAATTTTAATATTGAATATTAAAATTACAATGAGCTGTAGCATTATTTCACAGTCATACGTACCTTGTTTATGAGAGTTTATATATAATACACAAGAACCTATATAATAAAGGATTAATATTTGTTAAATCTGACAACAACAAAAAAGAACTCTTTTGAATCCATGTTTTTGTTGTTCGCTATCATTATGTATGAAGTTAATAAATCTGAGCGACTACCCGAAAATATTTACAAATTTTTATAGTTAATCGTGTGAATTTGAATGAAAATGACTCTTTCTTGCCGTGCACATGCGTCTTTCTCCTAGAGTTAGCAGTGGCAATAATTTTTTTTCTAGCTGATTAAAATTTTAGTTCTTTATTGAAAAATTAGTTTCTTCTCCAAAATCCAATTCTTATTTTTCTGAATTGATCCAATGGAACCAAAGAATTGAATCTAGTGAAAAGAGTTGCTCTATCACAATATAAGGAACACTGTTTGAAATACCACATTTAATACTCAATAGTATTTCGAACAGAATTGTTTTTAATAAAAAGATGTCCGTGTAAAGAAAAAAATGATAATACAAATAAAATTTTAAAATCTACATTGGTGTCTATTGTTTTTAAAAAAGTTTAATTAATGCCTTTTAGAAAACTATTAAATAT